GGAATTAAAATTACATTTGTGTCTAGGTAGGGCATGGACTTCATGAGAGCCAGAGCATAAAGAGTCCACTGTCCACCCTCTAAGGACTGCACTCTACTGTACTACCTGTGCCTACTCCCAAGAACCTCAAAAGTGTTTGTTTCTCCATAGTTCTCTCTGCATTTTGTGTCTGAAGAAAATGATTATCTGATCCTCAAGTCACCATATGCAGAGCTACACATGCCTGACATTGACAACATGACAGTTGCACATCCTTGGCCAAATCATTTCACCTCTCCAGACCTCAGTTTCCCCACTGTATAATGAGGGAGTTGAACTATATGGTCTCTAGATCCCTTCCAGCTTAACATCTGGTATCTCACATCTGCTGCACATCTGCTAGGTTGGGCTATGCTGAGTGGGGTCTAGTGATCATGGAGGAGAGGAGCACAGGTGCCAGAAACCTTCATTCCCTTAGGCTAGGTCTCATTTCTATTTGACAGAGAAACTGAGGCAAATGGTAATAAAAGGCAGCTTGATGTAGTGGATAGAGCCTTGGACTTGAAGTCAGGAAAATCTGGGAGCAAATTCTTCTTCATTGTTGGCTAAGTGACCCTAGACTGGGGGATGGGGGAGGAAACCTGCAGCCTCAAGGCCACATGTGGCCTTCTAGGTCCTCAAGTTCGGCCCTTTGACTGAATCCAAACTTCTCAGGTTTTTGCTTTACTTTGTATCCCCAGTGCTTAGCACAGTGCCTGGCATAGAGTTAGCACTTAATAACTGCTTGTTGATAGATGGATGTTTCCTCATCTGTAGAAAGGACATAATTACATCTGGAACACTTACCCAACAGAGAAGATCTTTGAGAACATCAAAGGAGATAAGCTAATTAAAGTGCTTTTCAAATCTTAAAGCAATATATATCAGTTGTCATTATCATGAATAATAAAGCATTTCTTCTGTGTCATTGAGCAAATTAGTGAAAAACTCTGAAATTCAAACTCAAATCTATCTTAGCTAGATAAAATTCCCTAGGAACAGTTTTAAATCCACAGCTTAAAGGATTTAGGCGTTATTGTTAAGTCCTAAAAGTCAAATCACAAGGCCTGGAAAATATCTATAGACAAACTCCTTCACTTTCTCAGGATTCCTTTTTTTTTTTCTTGGCAGAGGGATAGGAATGGAAGGTTCCTACTTCTGAGGACAGATACATGTACAAAAGTACATATTTTTCTGCCAGATTTGGACCAGCGCTGACAGACTCCATCTAGAGCGGCTGAGAGAGGACAGCAAGACTCTGGAACCTACAAGCTGTAGGCTTCTTAAGCCCTTCTCTTAGCTCAAGTCTTTTCAGAGAGCATGAGTTCTAAAATTCAGGTCTCTTGAGAGCCCTGAAGATGAGGGGCAGACCAGAGAGGCCCTCAGCTTCACACGAGGCTCAAAGAAGGCTACCACTTTATCTATAAAGGGAACAGAGAGAAGTGGTTGCTGTTAAGGTCACATTGACACTTCAGTCTTAGCAAGTCCAAAGCTGATCTTATCATTGTTAAACTTGCTCCTCCTTCTAACAACTGTCTGTGGCATCACCAATCACTCCGTCTCCCATTTTTGAAAACTTCATGTACTCTTACATGCTGTCTTCTCCCTCAGTTTTCACATCCAATCAGCTGGTAAGCCCTGTTGATTGTACCTTTCCAGGCCCTAGCATATCCCTTCTCTCTTCCCTATTCCCATGGCTACCACCCTGGCACAGGTGCTCATCACCTACCTGAACTACTTCAACTGCTTCCCACTCCAAGCCATCCATCATAATGCTGCCAGAATGTTTCCTATACCTGTCTATGGATCTGTCACACCATTCCTCTGCTCCCCAATCTTCAGTGGCTCTCCATCACCTACTAAGTAAAATTTAAACTCTTTTGCCTGGCACTTAAGGCCTTCCAAAATCTGGAACTACACCACCTTTCCAGCCTCTCATATTACTTCCCTCCACACACTCTATTTACTCCAATGAAACTGAACTACTTTCTGCATCCTGAAAATGCTGTGTACTCTCATACTGCCCATGCCATCAGTCATGGTCTCCTCTATTCCTTGGCCACCCTACCTCTCCCTCTTTACCTCCTGAAGGCCCAATAAGAATGCTATTGCCTCCACAAAATCTCCTTTAATATCCCCTGAACCCACTAGTTGGTGACCTTTCCCCTTGATCTTCAATTAACACTTAGTTTTACAATCCTTTAATGAATGCCCTTAACATATAACTGAATAGTAGTTATCTTTGTTTGTGTCTTACACCCAAACTAAAGTGAGAACTTCATGTAGATAAGTATGGCATTGCCTAAATATAGCTCCCTAAGGACCTAATATAGTAGGAGTAGGCAGGTGATGAAGTGGGAGGAGTGCTGGGTCTGGAGTCAGGAAGACTCATCTTCCTAAGTTCAAATCCAGCCTCAGACACTCACTAGCTGTGTGACCCTGGGCAAGTCACTTAACCCTGTTTGCCTCAGTTTCCTCATTTGTAAAATGAGCAGGAGAAGGAAATGGCAAACCACTCCAGTATTTCTGCCAAGAAAATCCCAAATAGGGTCATGAAGAGTAGGACATGACTGAAAAATGACTGAATGACAACACCTAGCATAATGCTCTTCACATATGTTTGTTGAATGTATGAATGAGTAATACTCTGTATCAGTAATTATCTGTGTCTATGTCTCACAATGTCAGTGGACTATCTCTTACCAAAACTTTGTATCCTCCCCTAGAGCCTGACATATTTCTCTGTACAGAGTAGACAGATTCCTAAGTGTTTGTTGAATTAATGAGTCCTTTCTACTTCTCTCCACTTAACACTGTATACCACCCTAGGTCAGGTCCTCAGCACTTCTTGCCTGATCTACTGCAATAACTTCCTACTTGGTCTCCCCTCTCATCCAACCATTTGCTAAGTGCTTATCATGGGCCAAGAATTGTGCTACATGCTAGGTATACAAAGGCAAAAGACAGAAGGAGCGTACTTATACCAGGAATGTACAATATATCCACACATGAAAATAATACATCCAGGATAAACACAAATGCAATACGTAGTTGTCGGGTGACAGCAAAGGACAGTCTCACTAATAACTGGGGAAATCAGGAAAGGCTTCTTGAAGGAAGTAGTACTTAAAACGATGATCCTGAAAGGGAACCAGAGATTCCAAGAGAGATGAGGAAGGATGTATTCTGAGTGTGAGGTACAGCCTATGCAAAGATGTGGAGGCAGGAAATGTAATGTTGTACATAGAGAATGGCAACAAGGCCAGTTTCCCATCCATCTTCCAAACTGTTGTCACACTGATACTCCTACAGTCCAGATCTGACCGTGTGTATAACTGACTCCCTATGGCCTCTAAGATAAAATATGAGCAACTTGGTATTTGAAGTCCTTTACATTCTGGGTCCAATCTAGCTTTCTAGACCCATTTCCCATTACTCACCATCATACACTCTCCATTGCAGCACATCACCCTACTTGCTATTTCCCACACATAACATTCTATCTCTCATCTCCATGACTTTGCACAGGCTGCCTCCCCCCATCACCACATCTGTAATATAAGCTCCTTGAAGTGAGAGATTATTTCAGGGAGCAAGTGATTGGTTGGAATGTCCTCCTTTCTCAACTCCACCTCTTGAAATCTTCAAGGCTTAGCCCAAATGCCTCCTCTCCTGGTCCTTCAGATACTGGTTCTCTCCCCTCAAATCCTTGAAATCATATATATTTACTTTGGATATATTTTGTATTTATCTGTACACATGCTCCCTGCCCCACCCCCCAGTAGAATGTAAGCTCCTTGAGGACAGAAACTGTTTCCTTTTTGCTTTTATGTCTCCCTTAGTGCCATGATAAAACACTTATGTCATAGAATTGAATTAAATGAATAGAGAGCAACCTGTGGAAAGAGTGCTAGATTTAAGGGGCAGCCAAGTGGCGCAGTGGATAGAGCACCCACTCTGGAGTCAGGAGGACCTGAGTTCCAATCCGGCCTCAGACACATAATACTTACTAGCTGTGTGACCCTAGGCAAGTCGCCTCACCAAAAAGCAAAGAAAAAAAAAGTGCTAGATTTGGAGTCAAAGAACCTGAGTTGGATCCCCAGGTCTGCCAAATACTAGCTGCTGCAACGACTTGGACAAGTCACTTAGCCCCTTCTGGGTTTCCTCATCTGTAAAATAAGGAGTCTGGTGAAATATGCCTGTGATCTAACATCCTTCCTATGATCCAGTTCTAAGAGTCTCAGATTCCAAATCTAGAACTCAAACAGGATGAGAAACACAAACACATTGAGGCTGGGGAGGGAAATATTTCAACAACACTTATCACCTAAAGGTCTCTTCAACAATGACCCATCCTTAACTCCTTAGCTTGGAAAATTACCTCATTGAATACAAAAAAGCTATAAACTAATGCACTGGAAACCACACATCTGTCACTCATCCTGAACTTAGGTCTACTCTCGCCATTTCAATCTTACTTGCTGCCTTCCTTTCTCAAAAAGACCCAAGTTGCACGACTAACTTTCAACTGGAGACAGTGACTTTGAAATGTAAATGTTACAGATGACCAATCAGTGACAAACCCCCTCTATCTTTGTCTGCCTTTCAACAAGGCAACTGGCCATGCCAATTATTCCCGAAGTTTCAGACACAAAGATAAAGGTCAGAAATACCAAGATATACAACAAAGCTGTGCTGGGTTGGTATAATGAGGCTAATTGGAACCAAGAGCTCATGGAAATGGGGAGTGTGATGTTAACAATTCTGACAGATCCTCTGAGGAGTGACAGTTATTTGGGGTGAAACAATAAGGTATGAAAGAATATATGTACATGTGTGTATGTATATGGATATATACGTACTGTGTACACACACACACACACACACACACACACACACACACACAGAGTAAATTGGGAAGTATTCTCCCAACAGAGGACCAAAGGGCCACTTTTGAAAAGAGGAACTCAGATACCTCTTACCTTTCTCTGATGCTGGAGCCAGGTCAATAAAACTCCGGCATGTTTCACCTTTGAAAAGAAAAAATGATTGATTTTAGAATCATAAAAGACACTTTTTCCATTGCCATTTATCCCCTGGTCTCAAGGAGAACATGGTCAGTCCAGACTGTCATTTTGATCTTTAACCTAGATAACTTCTTTTAATTACCATCTCCTTGTAATACATTCTACTTTCTCTAGCCTAGATGCCCTTTGTAAGGAAGGAGTTTCATCTGGCATTCAAAGCCCTTCCCAATCCGGCTCAAATCTAACCTTCCAACTTTTATCTTACACTCCTCTTCACATTACTCTATGCCTTATGATAATAACTAATAATAATAGCTAACATTTATATAGTGCTCACTAAGTGCCAGGCACTGTACTAAGTGCTTTAGTACTAAGTACTCTGAGATATGAATGTATTTTTGATGTTATTAAGATCAAACTCTATTACTTCACCCAAGTCAGGGGTGGGGAACCTGCAGCCTCGAAGCCACATGCGGCCCTCTAGGTCCTTGGGTGCAGCCTTTTGACTGAGTCCAAGTTTTACAGAACAAATCCTTTTATTAAGAGGTTTTGTTCTGTGAAGTTTGGATTCAGTCAAAGGGCTGCACTTAAGGACCTAGAGGGCCACATGTAGCCTTAAGGCTGCAGGTTCCCCACTCCTGTCCTAGATAAACTCCAGGAGCTAGAGCTGGGAAAGATGTTTAAGGTCATATAGTCTAATAACCCTTTCATTTTGTTGTTGTTCAGTCATTTCAGTCATGTCTGACTCTGTGACTCCGTTTGGGGTTTTCTTGGCAAAGATACTGGAGTGTTTTGCCATTTCCTTCTCCAGCTCATTTTATAGATGAGAAAACTGAGGCAAACAGGGTTAAGTGACTTCCTTATGGTCATAAGTAAGTAGTGCCTGAAGCCAGATTTGAACTCAGGTCTTTTTGACTCCAAGCCTGGTGCTCTATCCCCTTGCTGCCCAACTGTTTCATTTAACAGATGAGGAAACTGAAACCTAGAAAGGTGAAGACTTGGCTAAGAACATGCAAGCAAAGAACAAAGCCAGGATTGGAACTCACATTCCCTGACGTTAAACTCATTGTTCTTTCTACTATAACATGCTGTTTCTCATCTTTCAATCTCACTTCTTGCATGATTTAAACTTATTGAAATACATTTAATGAGTGACAATTCTGTTGTAACTCAAGCATGCAAGCAATAAGCATGTACAGAAACTACCCACAATGTCAAACATTGTACAAAGCACTGGGGACAAAAAAGAGACGCTTCCTGCCCCCAGCACATTTATATTCTGCTGGATGATCCTGTACTAGCAGCAACACAAAATCAAAGCAAAAACTACACAGTCCTAATCCACGAAGAGTTCACCACTGAAATGAAAAGACACTGAGTCCTAGTATAATTGAGTAATATACTTTCACCAAAGACAGTTTTTCAAATGGAAATTTGAATCATTTTGTTTCTTTTATTCTTAATTCTATCTTTTACTTCATATATTTATCATCACTCATTGGAAAAGAGCAAGAATAAAAAGAATGCAAGAGAAAGCCTTGTTTAGTCATTTTTCAGTCATGTCTGACTCTCTTTTGGGGTTTTCTTGGTAGAAAGACTATTTTTTTTTGCTATTTTTTGCTCTTTCCTTCTACAACTCATTTTACAAATAAGGAAACTGAGACAAACAGGGTTAAATGACTTGCCCAGGGTTATACAACTAACAAGTGTCTGAGGCCAGATTTTAACTCATGAGGATAAGTCTTCTGGACTACAAGCCGTGCTCTATCCACTATACCACTGTCCTGAAAGAGAAAGAGGAAAGCCCAAATGGCATTAAAAAAAAAGACAAAGGGAAGACAGTAACGAGGAAAGGCAAGGAGGTCAATAATCATAAAAAATAAGGTTTAAAAAATGGAAGGTATAAGTCAACTTTTGATTACCTGTCCAAATGAAGGAGAAAAAGAAGCTTGGTTACTATGAAATAATGGTTAACCTTCCACAATTTTGCCCCCTATTCTATTTCCAGATTTATTTTATGTTATTCCCATTCACAGACTCTACTCTCCTGTCAAATTGAACTTCCCCTGCCCCAAATATCTTCCTGTCTCCTCCTATTTATTCACTTGCATACATTATTCTCATGCTTAGAATGGATTTCCCTGTATCTCTGCCTGTCAAAATCTTTCTTTTCTTTCAAGGTTCCCTTCAGATGCTACATCTTCCATAAAGTCTTCCTTGATCCGCCCCCCAGCTAGAAGTGATCCCTTCTTCCTCAGATCTCTCATGCTACACCATTTGAACTATTCCACAGATTCAATCATAGTCTAACTTGCGTTAGAGTTATTTGTGTGTATGCCTTATTCCTTTCTGCTAGACCTTAAGCTCCTTAAGGGCGCTGATTTTCATCTTTATATAACCAGTGCCTAGGACAAGGTCTTAACCATAGCAATTACTAAATAAATGTCTGTTGAATTGAATAATATTTAAAATTTTTATATTTTTGTTTGGGGAGTACAGTAAGAGAGACACATATACTGGACCACTCATCATTCAGTCCTAAGTGCCTCCTAGTCCACCCCGACTCCAGACACAGAAACAAAAAGAAGACAGGTATACAGTGCCGGATGAGCAGTAGCAAATAGTAGAACTGTGGTAAATTTGGCTTAAATCTTTGTTCAAATATCTATTTAATTTTTTCTGTCCAAAAAGTTCTACCTATAGAATGGTCATAAAACTCTGTGAGAGCAGGGGCCATTCCATTTTTTGTCTTTGAATACCAGTGCCTGGTACACAGTAAGTGTTTAATAAATGTTTGTTGATTGAGTGATCTAGAGAAACTAAGAGTCATAGAATTGGAAGAAACCTTAGAAATCATCTAGTCCAGTGGTTTCTAAATTTTTTGACCCTTTTGATTAATTTTTCCCCTGATTGATATTGAGGAAGATGGGAGATGATTTTTTTTCCCAGCGGCACCTATACAACAGCTACCATAGGAAGAGGTCTGCCTTCAAGACTGCCTTGAAGGTCTCATACTCACCTCAAAAGGGGAAAGATTGGGAGTTTGAACAACTGCAGGAGGCAAAGAAATAGGAAGGTAATAAGTGAAGGGCCCATGGGGTTTTGTTGGAGGTAAGTTTCATGGTTGGCTATTGTGGGGAAGATGGGATGAGTACCATCTTCCCACCCTCCTACTGGTTGATCACAGCTCTTACAGTCAAGTCTACAGCCCAGACCTCACCTCAGAGACCACTGCTTTAGGTATCCCCTTTATTTTTACAAATGGAGAAAATGAACATCAAAGAGATTTGTGGCAAGTGAAAGACAAAATGACTGAGGAAACAAAGGTTCAAGTTTCCAAGCATTATCAATTTATTAAGCAATGTATGCCAATTGCATAACAAATTAGGACTGGTCACCTTCCTCACCTTTGGCACTGGACCCCCAAATACAGAGGGAGACAGATTTTTATGCATTAAAAACAATTAATCAAATAAGACCTATTCATTAAAAGAAAACAATTAACCAAGATACAAAGTTAGGTAATCTGATTTCTAATTGGAGGAAAGATTAGGGATTTTACAAATTGGGAGGGGGAGAGTGAACAGGTGCAATTCCCTGAATTCAGAAAAAGAGGTATCCCATTCCCCCTAAATGTCTATACTTAATTAAAAGCACATGGAAACAGTAACTGATTGATCATTATGGTGCCAGTTTACAGATAAGACAAATGGGTTGTTTGAGACATATAATGGTAAGAAAACTCCTTGCATCAGTCTTTGAATCTAACTGGGTCAGTATATGTAGGTCCTTAGTTAAAGGTCTCTAAACAGCAGGAAGAGGTAGTCCAGCTTTCCTGTCACACAGCGCTAAGTAAAACAATGCAATAAGGTTTTCTCCCAATCCCCACAATTAAATAAAATTTTCTCACAAGACAGAAATTGGGCTAGACCCATAATTGAATATAAAGGGCACTGAGCGAGCTCCAGAATTGAGTCACAAGATGGAGTCAGTGTGGTTCACTTAGTTCCCACAATTAACTTTCTGTACTAATCTCCTCAAGTTGAGAGACTTGTTTGAGGTTACAAAATGAGTTAAGAGTAGAGTTTGAACTCAAATCCAAGTGTCTTTGAGTCTATATTCAATGGCCTTTTCACTACAGTATTCTGGTCTTTCCTTTCACCAATCAATCAACACATTATTAAGTACTTATTAGGTGCCAGGAACCGTGCTAAGTCCTGTCCATATAAAGAAAAAGTGAAAGCAAGACTTTTGACTTTTGTTGTCACATGATCAACAAGGAGGACTAGACATTTTCTCTGATCCTCACACCTCTCAAACCACTGCAAAAGAAGAATTATTTACAAGTGGTAAAGCAATTGCAGCTGTCTAAACCATCTAAAATGCCAAGAACCCTAACAAGATAGCAATCCAATGAACTAACAGCAGGGAAGGCAGATAGGTAGTGAATAGAGCAGTGGCATGGAGTCAAGAAGACCTGAGTTCAAATGCTGCCTTGAACACCTACTAGCTGTGTAAGCTCAGATAAGTCATTTTATCTCTATTTACCAGTTTCCTCAAATGTAAAATGGGGATAATAATAGCTCCTTCCTCCCAGTATTGTTGTGAGGATCAAATGAGGTAACAATTGTAAAGCACTTAGCACCATACTTGGCACATAGTAAGCACTATAAAAATGTTAACTATAATTATTATTATCAATCCCTAATAATGCTTTCTCAGCATTCCTTCACTCACTTGCCCTCACATGCTGGCAGGATGGCAAAACCTGACTTACAGGGGAATAGGATGAAGAGAAAGACACAGATAGTAATCATAACTGTGAACGTGAATGGGATGAACTCTCCCATAAAACAGCAATGGATAGCAGAATGGACTAAAAACCATAATCCTACAATATGTTGTTTACAGGAAACACATTTGAAATAGAGTGACACATACACGGTAAAGGTAAAAGGCTGGAGCAGAATATATTATGCTTCAGCTGAAGTAAAAAAAGCAGG